GCCACGTGCTTACGAGGCACACCCTCTGACTCCTCTCAAGACGTCTTTCTCGAGTTCCAGGCTCTGGCGACATCGCATGGCGCCATCCAGGTTCGTTGGGTACCAGGACACTCCGACATCCCTGGCAACGAACAGGCCGACAAGCTGGCAAAAGCGGCATCATCGCTCCCTGAGCCCGAAGGTGCTAAGCCGACGCTAGCTTACCTACGGAGGATCGCAAGACAAAAACCGAAAGAAGCATTCGAAGCATGGTGGTCAGCCTCGGCTCCTGAGCAGTACAGGAGACTCAATCTCAAGGCAACCACAGGCTGCCCGCCAGAGCTATCGCTCCCGCGTGCAGCCTTGCACCATCTGCTGGCAGCGAGATCCCTCCACGGGGATTTCGCCACATACCACGAAAAATTCGACCATGTCAACGCACGCCTGGTCTGTTCATATGGCCGACGCAAAGCACCAGATCACATCTTCTATTGCAGAAAAGTACCGCCGCGTTGTCGAGTGAGGCTCGCACCCTCACCGAATACAGTAGTCAATCTAGCAATGGGAAAAGACTTCACCAAATTCATCGACCTGTCCAAGGACAGCGCGTTCTTTGGAAAGATATGCCCTCGCCATTAGGCGACGACGACCAGAGAAGCACTCGCATCTCTCTTTCTCTCTTTATCTTCTACTCATCTCCTTTGTTCAATCTCTCTCTTTCTCTTTTACCTGTCCCTGGCCAGACGAAGGGCGTACCAGCGCCCTTCATCTGGCCATGACCACCATTGAGGCAGTCTTAAGCTGCCACACGCACAGGCCGATCTCAGCTCTCCTGAAATCAGGCTTCATCAGCGGCTGTGATATGCCAGCCGCGCCTTGTCATCCCGCTGACGGGTAACAGGTTCGATAGAATGCGCCATTTGTGCCGACGATATGCTGGATAGAGTGCGTTCTACTGACGTGTTTACAGAAATCAATAGCATTTCTGTAAATAATGTGTAGATAGATTCCAACTTCTCTAGCTCAGCACGTCCTGTGCCCCAGTAGGGGACTTTCGGGGCCTACGGCCCCCCGGACGAAAAATATACATAACATAACATAACATAACTTTGAGGCGGCACAAGCCTCCAAGGCGGTCACGACGAGGGGGTCTAGACTAGTCAGGTCTCTCGTTGGCATAAGTCGTGCTACTACAGAAAAGTGACTCCGAATTTGTGTCTATCGTGACTATTGAATTTGGTAACATTCATGTAGGTGGGGTTAGGTGGGGCTGGTTGGGTAAAGGAGTCATTTGGTTTCTGTTTACAAAAATTGATGTTTCCGGGGTTTCGGGGCACGTTAAATGCCCGATCGGGCGTGTTAAATGACCCGCGGTTTCTCTCTACGTAGGTCTCACAATGTTTCATCGATAGTGGGATTTGCCTGCTGCCAAGCGAACAGGAGAAACTACTCAACTGGTTGATCTGATGTGTGCCTAATATCCTCGCACGTCACTAAACCGTTTCTCCCGCTTATACACAATATCACTTTGATTCTTCGTTACGGCTTTTTCTACGCTTCGAGAATAGTATGAGAGGGAGCTGACTTCCATGACCCTGCTATTGGCGACAAGCTGGGGCGTATGCTTCCCCGATTGGCTATCAAACGCCGGGCGGCCTTTGGGTTGTTCCTTTCTTACGAAAGTCTCTATCTTGGAGCTTTCGTCTAGTTTAACTACAAGAACCTTTACCTGCATTTTGGATTGAGGTTAGACTATAAGATTAGCGCAATAGAAACCGCTTTGGCAGGGTATTTATCTTGGTGCGCTACATATACCGGTATACTGAGCATGGGGGGAGAACGTGGGTATTCTTGAATAGTTACGGCAGGGGCAGTGATAGTGAGGCAGAACAAGATAGCGCCTGAGATGCTCAAACTTGTCATGTATCCTTAACTGCAGCAGGTTTTATGTACGGCAGGCTCGTTGCAGAAGGCTACTTCGAGACAAACGAATGCCGCATTGCCTTCGAATTTATTAGCGAGGAGTGGCATCGCCTACTCGATTTTCCGTCCACCGTTAATGGGTTTGAGGAAATTCTCACATTAGGACGTAAAAGAACATCGCCGTCGCTGCATTACGAAACGATGAAAAATCTGCAACTGAGGCTATGAAAGATTCCCCGAAGACTCGCTCTCGACCAGGAGCTAGGTCGCCTGTACAAGGACAACGCCCAATTTCGCAGTAAGCAACGGGAGGCAGTGGAAGTGATCAAGTGATCATGATGAACGAGAGCCCTGTTATTGCGATCATGGGAAGGGGCACTGCAAAGAGCCTTTGCTTCATGCTTTACGCAGCCAACTGCCCAATGGAAATATTTCTACATAAAAGCAGGGTCACAGAAGATTTTTGTTGCGTTGTGCTATTTGTATGGTAGAGATTATGTGATAGTTCGGAGAAAACAGGTAGAAAGGTGGATGAAAATGGCCATAAACAAATATCGACGTAACGATATTTGCATTGATAATAACAACCACATGATCTGTAGAGAAAAATCAGTTGTTTTGTCGCAAGCAAGAAGAAAATGAGGAAAAGGAGTTAAAGACAAACAAGATGTCAAAAGAAACAAGTCAAACTGGAAGTGGTGGTAGTGCCTGATGTTCACTGCATGAAGAGGAAGATCCTTGCCATGGTCGCATTAGTTAGCCGGCATAGCCAGAAGATGACATGGAATCGTCCATGCTTAGAATAACCTCAGGACTGGTTTGTAAAAGGACGCGAGGCATGATGGTGTCGACTTCAAACTCCACATGGCCCTGATTCAACAAGCTCATGCTCGCCATCATACCGTTTCGTTGTTGGAAGTAGGTCAAATTAAGATCGGTAGGCTGGGGCTTGGCAATTGGCAAGGCGGCAAAATTGCTCATTGCAGAGGATTGCAACAGAGTCGAAGAATCAACCTCGGGTGGCAGGGAGGGAAAGTCAAATCCGGCGCTGCTTATGAAATTCTGTGGTGAAAGAGCTATGGTGTTGATGTCACTAAATGCGGCCTCCTGGTAATCGTGCTCGACATTGGAATGATAGAGCTTCGATGGCGACGCTCGCTCAGTTCGGTTCCTCGTTGATGAGTCTTCGTCCTTCATAGGCTCCTTCCGAGGCTTGTGTTCGATTTGCTGATCGTTGAGCTGTTGTGCAAACTCATCCATACCGACTTCGTCTTCAGGGAATAATGAGTACTCAGACAGGTCGATTTCGTTGTTAGGGTGGATACACCCGAGCTTCTGGGCAATGCTGTGGATTACCGGTTGGCCGTTGTGATCGAGTTCGGGCTCACCGAGGTCCCAAGACTGGTTATTTCGGACCTTGAAGTAAAGCTTGCGGGTGGTCATAACGAGGACGGATTGTGTGGTCTCGAGAACCTCCGCGTAACTGTGGCGTGTAAGTGAGATGCAAATCACTATGGATTCTTTATTCACATACCCTTTAGGTACTTGCTTGTATTTACTCTTACTTGGGATACCGCCCGTGCAAATTAGACCATGGTCCTTACATCGCCTGCATGGAAATCCGGTGTCACACTGAAAAACGTATAAGAGAGAATAGGGGCCAAGCAGTAAGTGGGTACTGGAAACATACCTTGGACTTTCTCATTCGACATTGCTCGCAAGCCTTCTGCACTCGCTTGTTTCGACCATACATGCCAGTTGTGTGTGTGGCACGGTGGCGGTGTTGATGAATTGTGGCAGCACTTGAGCAAGCTCGCTTGGAATTACGGTGTACTGGTTGGATGGGCTTGATACTTGCTGATGCACTATTCCGCCAGAAGGTCAATTCAGGTTCCTCAGCAGGAGGAGCAGTCAAGCTGCCCGATCCCATCGTGGTTATTTTGCCTGTAATATGATAGATAGATGGAGGGAGAATGAAATTCAGGCAAAGGGTTGTGTTGTGAAAAGGTTGGAGCTTCGGTTATGTGTAAGACACAGAGGGAACCATGCATCTCGAACAGGACTTGGTGAAGCAGGGGCGTATGTATGCATGATAGAAATTGACAACTGAAATATACAGTAAAAGGAGGGGAAGATAGCAAGGTTTGGAGGAAATGGACAATATTACCCGTTGAAGCCAGGGTGGGGTCTGACGCCATTGGTGACATGGTAAATAAGCGACAAGAGATACGTGCAACGAACGTGAACCCTTCGTAGTAATGAGGTGCTGGATCTCTCGGTCCGACATTTTATCACCCTCCTTCTAGCCGGGCCACAAGACAGCACCGTTGGTCAGGGTTCAGGGTTCTGAGGCAATAGCGTTAACCGTTAAGCGTTAACCCCATTATTGATCAGCCAGGAATGAGACTAGAATACAGAACACCAAATAAGGAAGGCCGATACATTTAGGCAGAAACTTATAAATTCAAGCCAAGTTTAATGTTTAAGACTTGAATGTAAACTTTAAAGGTTCTGAGACAATCCTGAAGGAGTAAGATAGAAGACACCTAAAACCCAGAGAAGGAATTAGTGCCTCATACATTCTACATGCATCTAAATGGGTGGCCAGAACATCCTCAGACTTTTGAGAACTTGAATATTTTGGGGACAAACAAGTCACCTGCCACCATGAAAATTCCGGTGCTAGAGTTTTCGTCGCGATGCGTCGAGGGAGATTACCAATTCGAACCGAAAGGCAAACTCATTTGCATCAAGAGCGGCCTCAATTCTAAGCCACTGCCGCACGAAATGTAAGGGCCCCTGTCTTTTTGCAGCTTTCCCGGCTCATCCGAATAGCTCTATGCATAACGTTTTTAGTTTTTTCGCAGAAAAAAGATAATTTCATTAATATTAATTAAAGGGCTGGCGCATTGGTAGGTGTCTATCCGCAGTTCCGCTGAGTTTCCATCCCAGCCTTTACCACGATCCAGTTCATAACAATCTAATTGTATAAAAGATATAACGTACTTGATAATGGAATGCCACGCCTCACTACACAGTTAGCGGTCTCTGCCCTGCAAAGTCAACCACAACGTTGTAAATTGGCCCAAATCATCTCTCTCCTGTAAAGACCTTTTCTTGGCACCTGTTTCCGCTGACGGGATGCCCTCTTGAAGTAATGCCGATGATATGCTGGATGGACTAGATTGAATGACAGTCGTATTGGGACTTTTCCTGTGTTACCTGCAATGACGTCCAAGACGATGTGCCTGAAACTACCGTAGGGATGGCTACGAGTAGGAAAGTGCCATGTGGGGGAAAGAGCTTTTGAAACTCTCCATTGATGCGAGTGGACATCTCGGGTGTTCTGCATGAGGTTGGATGGGACAGCAATTGCAGATAATTTAGCTCAGCACGTCCTATGCTCCCTTAGGAGACTTCTGGGGCTTTATGGCCCCCCGGACGAAAAATATACATAACGTAACACGACATAATTACAATGCCCAAGGATATCCATCACCTAGGCCGGTACTAGCATCTATTGAGTATCCGCCATAGATAAGCTGACGATCAAGCGGGTCGATGTTTCCATTCGAGCCCTGCCCAAAGTCTATTGAGAGCAGCTCGAGTGGGAAAAAGGTGGGCGTGTGTGCGTAGTGAGAAAATGGAGTCATGTTGGCCGGGCTCGTAGGTGACATGGTGGTGCTGAAATCCGGGTTCTGCTGGTTTGATGCTGAGAGAGGGTTGAAGCCTGCTGCACCTGTAATTTGCAATCCCAAACCACCCGAGAACTTGCGTTCCTGGGAGACTGCGTCTGCATCTGTACTCTGCAACGAATCGAGATGCTGGCCAGGTTGTGCTGGCATGCCAGTCTGCTTCTTGGCGCTTTGCTTTCGTTTTGGCGCTGCTGTGCGGATAGTATCCTGATTCTCGACCCTTCGTGGTGCTGGAAGCGTAAAGTATTCCTCCACTGATCGCAGGTCGGGCTTCGCTTCAAGAACGCCGTCTGCTCCTGAATCCTTTCGTTTGTGAGTGGCAGGGTCCATGAACTCAGCGTCAGAAAGACCGCGAGGGTCACGGTTATACCAGTCTCCGTATTGAAGGAAAGATAGCTCTGTGGCTCGTTCTTCGACATTCACACCAGCTCTCATAGCGTGCAAGACATTTCGATACTGAGTGCGAACGTTCTCCACCATCCAGTGAAACATACCCCAATACTTCTTCATTTTGTGAAGGTACTTGACATTAGTGGTCAAATTGGCCTCGGCTGTTGGCTTCATGGATGGATTGCGAGAGATACCCAAGATGTGAACTGTTGCCGAGGAAAAGGCGCAGTATCCAGCGAAGGGTGCCGAAACAAAGCACTGCGACTGTTCGGCCTCACGAAGGAATTCAGATATCCGGTTCGCAGCGCTGAATGTCCTCTTACTCGCTTCAGAGAAGAAATCATCATGAACACCCTGCTGCTTTCGCGCTGACATGGCGGTTCGACTCACAAGAAGGATGTTATGCTGCAGGCAGATATGCATGAAAAAAAATTGGCTTGCCGCGTTCTCTGTCTTGTGGACCTCGAGGTTCTCTGCAGAGTACTTGAGTGACAAGGGCAGACTAGCTTCAAGGTTTACAACATCATTGAGATGCTTCATATAGTGAGACTCGTCTTCCCACCATGGATTGGGGTCTAGATCCTTACACCGTTGGCTCAGGTAGGTGATGATCCGTCCCCATAAGGCAATGGCTCGAATCAGGAAGGCCGCAACTCCCATGTTCTCTCGTGCATCAGCGATTTGTCCGTCGTTGGGCGACGGCGGATGAGGTACTCGACCGTCCAACATCTCGGTGGGCACAGGCATGCCGAATTGGAAGTACTTTTCCTTTACCGGCAGAGGAATCTGAATTGTATCCTCCCTGATGAACATGGGTCGATCTGTCCCAGAAGAGTTGAAGCGATCCAAGAGAAAGCAAGCCCACATTATGCGTCGCCGAATCTCTCGATCAATGAAGCTGAGCTGCGTTTTGGCGCAATTAGGGCCCGAGGGATCGTATTCCAAGTCTTTATGTAACTGGAGAGCGAAAGCCATTCGGATAGCTTGCCCACCTAGGGCCCAGCTGCGGCTGCCCTGGCACGTTCCAAATTCATGAAGGCCCAAAATGAGAAGACATGTCAAGATGGTGAGGCTTGGCCATTCGTATTGTCTGGTGCAAATCTCTCGAGCGTGTGATGCCCATTCTTCACCGCGTAAGAATTCAGGCCCTGAAGAACTCACTAGGGGGTTTGAGGTAAAACGAGCAGCTACAGCGCATACTGTGAGAACAAGCACCGGAGGTAGTGTGCCATTTCTGTTGACAGTCAGCAAGATACGTGAGATTCAACCCAAAAACAACTCACTTTAACTTTCGCAGATAGCTTGGCTTGTGTAAAAGATGGTAAGATTGACCATAGATGTTGTCGAAAAACACCTCTGCGAGATGCTCCTGTATCTCCTCGGAGGGGAGTGCTTCGGTGCCTTCATGTTGCAGCTTATTCTCCTCCCCTTCCTGGGCTTGCAAACTGCTGGGCCTATCATCGCCCTCAATCTTTGGCTTCGAAGGCGCCTTCGCCCAAGCTTCCAGATCAAGCCCGAATGCTTCCTCGGCGCCGCGCTTCTTGGTTGGCTTACTGGAAGGTACAGTTCCTGGTATCGCCGGTTCGACCACGGGGCGAGTTACAGATGATGCGACTTCCTGATCCGACTTGGGTGTGGCCTTGATGATGCGTTCTTCCATGCACTTCGGTCGCTTATCGAGCATAGCCATGTAATCTGTCCGAGGCGCAGCCTTCCGAGTTGTAACTTTGTAGACACATGGGGTATGTGAGTGTAGGCAGTGCTTGCAGGCGGGTTTCTCGCCTGAACAACGGACCTTCTTTCGGCGGCATGCAATGCAAGCGAGCGGGAGGCGTTTTCTTTCCTTGCCAGCCTTTGTCTTAAGTCCACTCCACGCAGGTGTGGCACCGGCTTTATCCTTCTTAGGCTTACCGCCTAGATCTGTGCCATCTGCACGGTTACAGGAAGCCAAACCAAACTCATCGGTAGTCGGGTTTTCGAAGGCGTTGGATGCGGGAGATGTCCGATCAGGCAGGGCTTTGGAGCCTTCCATGCTCTGACAGCGGTTGCCCGTAGGCAAGGTACCGAACGGCAGACTGCTATGTGCAATGCCAGAAATGGCCTGGTGCTGGGGAAGCGCAGTGTGAGATTGGAACATGAGGGTGTGATCTGCTACGGAAACGAGAGAAGACTGGTCAGGAAGACCATGGTAAGCAAACGCAAAATCGTCGAAGTGTGTGAAATCCATTAAGGCGCTGTGAGAGGGAGAAGGCACAGCGTGCAACTCGGGAACGTCGTGATAGAGTTGGGGACCGGAATCGAAGGACTGCTGAGCATGTTGAGGGTTCGAAACTGCACTGCCGGACATGGCTCTGCCAGGGACAGAGTTACGACGCGGCAACCCGAGGCCTAGAATCCAGCGATGGAAAACAAATATACCGGTTCGACGTGGTGACGATGGTGGAGAGAAGCGACTGAGTTAGGCAGGGGTTTGGTGGCTGCGAATGCAGTCCGACTAGGCAAAACAAAGCCTTTATAAGAGCTTGGCTGGCACAGCTGTTGTGCAGTTTAAAAAGTTGCATCGCAAGAGCGTTGAGGTTGAGGTTGAGGCGACCCGAAGCCGTCTGGGGAGTTTATAGAGAAGCAGGCAACAGGTACGTATGTAGTCAGTGGCTCCCCGCACTGGGGCTGGGGACAGTCTGCGCCCGACATCGCACATCACCGAAAACAGGATTGTACTATACGTACCAACCCTAAGGACTAGAGACTCTACCGTACGATTTACGAGTCTGATTGCAATATTATGATGGGCGTATGAATATCCTGCTGCCTTCACCACTTCCCTACATGTAGGATGAGCATGGGGCAAAAAGGCATGGTCGGGGTTTACAGCTGCAGTAATACCATGAATCACAAGGATACCAGCCTTTTCGCCTCTAATAAGCAGGGTAATCCACATCAATGTCACTGTCCCTTCTTGATTGTTTCTCAGAAAGTGGTAGGCGGTGACACTACTGAAATTCGTTATGTCATCCATGAATGGCTGTGGAGATGGAGAAATCTTTGTGCCAGGGACAGACCCTGATAAGCGGCAATGCCAATCAATCACATGCACCAACTGCCGACAGGGGTAGTAAATCACAGTCATGCTATTCGTTTACATATGAGTGTCCATAGTGAGAAGGTGGTAGCTTAATGTAAACTTTGGAGAATGAAAATGAACCACATGTTTTCTTATTAATTTTCAGTGGAAGCTTAATAATCTTGGGACTTGTTCTTGTTTAAGAGAAATTGGCACAAATAATCGCCGTGCCAAGGGGTGATTATCCCACATATGATCCGACCACCCACTCTCACCTGCGTCAGTCAACCAATCGGAATATTGTGAAACAGATTAGCTAGGTAAACGATCAATGCCGTAAGCGGGGGCCGGAGCAAAAGTCCCCGGCAGCCAAAACAAACAATTCGGGTGCCGTGCCACCTCAGGCTCTTCTCGAATTCCCGATTGCCTACCCTACAGTAGTCTGATCAGACGAATTGAATGGCCTCTCAACTCTCTCCTGTAAAAAATTTTCCTTGGCACCTGCTATTAGCGTTCTGCTAGGGCAGAAAATTTTTACAGGCCAAAATAGCAACAAAAGCAGCTGCAGGACTAGCAGGACCCTAACAGCTGCTGGAAGAAAGGGATTCAGAGAGTTAACCTTTCTTCGTGACAAGTGTTTTCAACGGCACTGAGCTTCGCGGGCTCTTAACATCGCCTCTAGGCACCATTTTATTTATCTTATCTGCGACTTCTTCTCACCTCGACATTTCGGCTTCGCAAGCCTGCAATATTCTGGCCTCTGTGCCCCTCGACTTCCCGTAACACCGACTTCTGCAGCCTCGGCTGCCCAGATGACATTCGCAGCATCTTGCTGCTTAACATCGAGGGTCATCATGCCCTCACCCTCACTCTCACCTTCGCCTGCAGTTTAACGCTGCCTCGACCAACCTCTGCAGCTTTAGCTGCCCGAACAACACAAACAGCCTTCGGCTGCTCGACTTCTTAGGCTCTCTGGTGCCCTTGACCTTAACGCACGGACCCCACATGGTTCGTTGCCCTTTTTGCAGCTCGGAAGCTGCTTGACCGATCTCTGTAGTCACGTACTGCCTAGAGACTCTCCTCTTTCTTTCTGCAGCCTCGGCTGCTTCCCGGAACACGACCAGGCTTCGACAATTTGTCTCACTGGCTGAGACCACTAGACAAAACCGCTGGGTCAAAATGGTATAGAGCTTACCTGGAAACCGTAGAATAAGGCGACTACCTCATCTATAGAGCAGCGTTCTGGCCGCCTTGGGGTTTTCTCCTGCAAGGGTTTCCCCTAAGGATGCACGGTTCTAGGGTTGCAGCTACTGGCGATCTTAGGGGATAATGGACTTCCTGCCTTAGAGTATGGAAAGCTACTTGATCTATCTGTGTAAGAGAATTCTAGGCTGGAGAGGAATAGATCCCGCTGACGGGATGACCTCTTGAAAGTAAATGCGCCTTTTTGTGCCGATGATATGCTGGATGAACTAGATGGGACGCTGCTGGAGGGAAGCTCTGCGAGGATCAACTGTATTAATGTCCAATGGGACGTGCTTCACCGACAACTACTGTAGAGCTGGCTACGAGTAGAGAGGTGCCTCTTGGGGGATGAGTAGAGAAAACGCTCGAGCATGTATACGGCTCCGACGCAAGAGGCCTTGCAGATGACCTGAGCGAGGATCAGTACGGCAGCGATTGTAGATGGTTTAGCTCAGCACGTCCTGTGCTCCCTTAGGAGACTTTTCGGGGCCGATGGCCCCCCGGACGAAAAATACACATAACATAACATAACATATTGAATGACCTCTTCTGCTGTACGACCCCGTATTTTTGAACTGCAGATGACTTTCGTGTCTCTAATTTGCAATGTCTGAGATAATAAGCTTGGTTCACCCTCGTCATGCTCAGTCATCAGCATGAAATGTTTATACTTTGATTTATACTGTATAACTTTTGCTTGACTCATTTGTACAACGAAGTTAACCTTCGAAGTACGGAGGTCCTGGATTTCTCGGTCCGACATTTCATCACCTTCCTTCCACCTGTTAGTCAGGGTTCAGGGGCAATAGCGTTTAACCATCAACACTAACCCCATTATGGATTAGCCAGGAATGAGACTAGAATACAGAACACAAAATAAGGAATGTAACGGTCGCACAAGCCGTTAAACCACAGGGCAAAAGATCGGGCCATAATCGCTATGCAAGCAATCATGGGTGTGCTACAGCTGCCTTATAGAAGCCTTACAGCGCTGTTACGGGCACGAATCGTAACAAGGAAGGCCGATAAGTTTAGGTAGAAACTTGATGAATTCAAGCCAGGTTTAACGCTTGACTTACATATAAGCCTTAAAGGTTCTAAGATAATCCTAAATCATTAAGATAGACGTAACCTAAAACCTAGAGAAGGAATTAATGTTTTATATATTCTACATGGATCTATATAGGTGACCAGAATATCCTCAGACTTTTAAGAGCTCTTCGTATTTAAACCTTGTAATCATTAAGGTTTTTAAGTATTATTTGTTTGTTTCGAGATCAAATACGCCACACAGCTTAGTATCACGACTTACAATTTAACACTCTAACACACTCTTTATATAAACTCAGCTACTCGTTAGGAAACACTACTTGTTGTATGTCGTCGAGCTAGAAGTTTGCTATAGGTAACTACGGAGGCGTTATAGTAAAACATTTGAACTGTGTATAGGATATGTTATTTGCAGCTCCAATGCAGCCGATAACCTGAATGCTTGCCCATAACTTAACTTAGTTATAGGTCTTGCCGATGTGCCGATTTTTTCCGATATGCCGGTTTTTCCGATATGCAGGTCTTACCGATATGATCAGATCATGAAGAAACTTCTAAAACTGTATTTGGGTTAGGGAAAATCTAAAGCAAAGAGGTAAATATGGTGATTATGTTTGCTAAGTGATAGATAGATAACGCGGGTAAGGCTTATATACTGTAAAGTACTCTTATCAATAGTCAGTGATTCTAGGGATCCCAGTCGCTTCTGGCAAAGTGCGAGAAGTGTCTATGGGTGAGATGGATTGCCGCTTCCGAGAGGGTGGATCGAGGGGGTCCGGCAGATCAACTCGGGTTCTAACACCGACAAACCTTAAACAATGGAGCACAAAGCAAGAGCCGGATCCTGCGGCGGGATAGTGGGGCCATTCGTTTCCTAAGCGACAACAGACAGATCCGATGCGCTACAAAACCTCATTCTACAGTATACGTGAGCCCTGAACCTCTGAACTTTTGTCAGTGGAGCAGCTAGCTGGGGGTTGGAGGGTCAATTTGAGCTAATTAGAGGTACCTATTTCCCGCTTTTGCAGCCAACTAGTGGCTTCACTGACAAAAGTTCATGTGGTTAAGGTATAGCCGTTGCCAACCCCGGCGTTAACCAGTACTTCCACTTTTTAATAGGCACGACTTCCTATGGCCTTCTATAATATTTATACTTTACGACGTTCTAAGGAGGGTTGCTGTGGGCCTTTACCTACCCTTTGACTGGCGTAATGCAACATAAACTAGTCCATACTAGGTTTATGTTGGTATATTGCACAAGGCGTGATGCTAAGTGATGCAATGTATCGCGTCTCCTAATAGGGGAATCAAATGCGTGTTAGGCTTTGTTCAATGTAAGGAAGTTTTATTGATAGCTGGAGAGCTAGAGTCTATAAAAGTGCTAATGAGTGTGGTCTATGTACTTGTGTATGTTTATTGGGATCACGGTCATGGTCGTGATCCATCGTAGGGGATCACGCTTGTATACGTGGTCCCGAGTGAGTTTCTTCGTGAGTGGATGAAAACTGCGGAATACATATGACATAACCGCTGGGTTCGTAATACCACCCGCTTCATTGCATTCCGTTAAGCTGATTCACAGGGTCAAGCAATTTTTCTGGGGGTGACCGGTTTCCCCGTACCCGACGGTATTGTAAGTCACCTCGGTAGTTTCGGCTATGAAGTACATATTCCCTCCTCGCTTTTTTATCCCACCAGCCATGGTATAGTTATTTACAATTGCTTACAATATCAGTCTTCGTGTACCTCTATGTCTGAATCGGCTATGCAAACCTTATTAGGCCATGCTAAGGCTGGGTCTAAAAGCCCATGCTTGCTTCTAAAGCTGATCCCTGTCCAATCAGGAACTCACGCTTCGGTATCCGTACTCCGATATAAGGTTTGTGGAGATGATTCCCTCTGCAGCGTCTTTTTGAATGAATTCCTGAAATGGCCATCTAAGGGATGAAACAAAACCTTCAGCTTCGGCAACTGGGCGCGGGAAACCAGCTTTACATACAAGCAGGTCTTCTTGTGCTAATACTTGGGATCATTAGTGACACGTTCCGTTCTGGGATAGATGATAAAAACACCTTCTATATCAGTCGCAGTCCGTTGTTTGTTGGGGCCAGGAGGGGGTATAAGATCGACTTCGTCCCACACAATTCTCATACAGGTACTGTTTGATCAGCCCAGTTGTCATTTGAGAAAATACAAACACTCATTCATTGCCATTCATTTTGATCATGCCTAAACTCCAAGCACTTATCTTGGCAGCTCTCAGCTGTCTGCATGCAACAACTGCATCAGCCTACCCGCGACAAGATGTCAATTTGCGTACGGAATATGACTATATCATCGTTGGCGCAGGAGCCTCTGGCCTCACTGTTGCCAACCGCCTATCGGAAGATCCTGGTGCGTTCTACAGTAACATCGCTCCTCGATATTTATTGACACACCCGCAGCTGTGACCGTCCTCGTGATTGAAGCAGGTGACTTGTAAGATATACGTGATTTAACCCAAAAAAATACTAATATATATACAGCGATAAAAATGAGGACATCGTGACAATTCCAGGCCTTGCTGGTAATGCTGTTGGCACAAAGTACGACTGGAATCTCACTTATCCTTCTACCACTTCGCTCAATGGACGCAGCATCTCGATTCCTTTGGGCAAGGTCGTCGGAGGTTCTACCAAGCTGAACCGCATGGTTTACGATCGCGGATCACAGGCAGACTACGATCGCTGGGCTGAGCTTGGCAATGGCGATTGGCAGTGGAAAACCCTGCTTCCTTATTTCAAGAAGGTACACTGAGAACTCGGTAAATGTGCAAGATCGAAACTAACATTCGTCTTAGAACGAGAAATTCACTGGGCCAACTGCCGGTATCAAGAAGGAATATGGCATCACCACAGACCCTTCTGCTCATGGGTCCTCAGGTTACATCCATTCCAGTTATTCACCTTTCTTCTGGCCCACAACGAGTAAGTACATCTTCTGCGTATACAATTCGCAAAATGGATCAATACTAACATGCTTCAGAGAACCTAGTAGAAGCCACCGGAGAGCTCGACATCAATATCGCCGTCGACCAAGCCAACGGCGGCGCGATTGGAGGATACTTCTGCCCTCACAACCTCAATCGCGAGACTCTTGTCCGCTCCTCTGCACAAGATTACTACAGTGCTGTCTCCCAGCGCAGAAACCTTCAGCTTCTTCCAGGCCATCAAGTTACTCGTGTTCTCACTAGCAAGAATGGAAGCTCCGTGAGGGCTAATGGTGTCGAGGTAAGTTGCAACTCTTCTCGGACCCTTGTTCATATCTGACGATTTCTTTGCAGTTTGCCAAGAACAGGGACAGCGCCAAGAAGACTCTCAAGGCGAAGAAGGAGGTCATCCTTGCGGCTGGAGCCGTTCACACCCCTCAGATCCTGCAGGTTTCCGGCATTGGTGACTCAGCTTTACTCTCCAGCATCGATGTCCCTGTCGTCGTTGATCTCCCTGCTGTTGGTCAGAACTTCCACGATCATGTCTTCCTCGCCGTGGTGAGCACAAGTAAGTCATTCCCTGCAATAGGAAAGTACCGGAGGCTGACGTTGCTTAGTCGATGCACCTATTCAAGGCAGCAACCTTACCAAAAACGCCACTTTCGCTGCTGAGGCGCGCGCTGAATATGATCAGCAAAAGAAGGGACCTTTAACTTCACCTACGGCTGATTTCCTTCTCTTCCTTCCGCTTTCCAACTACACAAGCGCTGCTTCAGATATCCACAAGCAAGCCACCGGCCAGGACGGCTCGAAGTTCCTCCCTACAGGTACACCTGCCGAGGTTGTCAAGGGTTACAAGAAGCAGCAGAAAGTTCTTAACGAGAAACTTCTTGACACACGATCTGCCATCTTGGAGATCATCTGGGCCGATGGTACCTCGGTACTTGGCCTTCAACACCCTTACTCTCGAGGTTCCGTCAAGGCCAAGTCTTCCAACATCTTCGACTCTCCTGAGGCCAACCCCGAGTTCCTAAAGAACCCTCTTGACCTCGCTGTTCTTGCTGAAGGTGTCAAATTTGCTCGAAAGCTCTCCGGCGCGCCTTCAATCAAGGCCCTGAACCCGTTTGAGCTCGTGCCTGGCGCTAACGTGACAAGCGACAGCGACCTCGAACAGTTTATCCGTTCCAGTGCATCAACCTTGTTCCACCCCGCTGGTTCTTGCAAACTTGGTAGCCGCAGTGAAGGTGGCGTTGTTGATGAGAAGCTCAGGGTCTACGGCGTTAAGGGACTCCGCATCGTCGATGCCAGTGTCATACCTCTGCTTCCCGCCACGCACACCATGACAACTGTTTATGCTGTCGCTGAGAAGGTTAGTTGCATTCAAGCATGCTGACTATGAGTCATATTATTAACATATATAGGCTGCTGATTTGATCAAGAGTGGTTAAGCAACTTCTGGACTTCAAACGAACCCAAATGGCCCGGAATCAGAATCGAGCGACGTGTGATATTTCCTTTGTAGATATTCATTTGCTCTTTATTGTATAGATTCTCCTATCATTTATATATATAGCTCTTCCGAAAAGAAAAAAAAAAATACCATCATCCATGCTGAACAGTATCCAAGACCTCTGTAGTTGTAGAGTTGATTCTCCACTTCCTAAATCCGCTAGTTGAATGGCATATGTGGTTCAATAAACGATGCCAGGTTATCGAAACCTTGTCCAAACTCAATATCATCCATAGAAGTACTCAAATAAGTAGGACTCATATGATCTTCTCTCGCAACCCCCGACTCCCCAAAAGTAGGCCCTGAACTAGGTCCTTGGTAGACGGCGTCGGATGCCATCGATGGTCGTGTGACAGCGGTGCTAGTAAACTGGTAGAATACATTGCAGATGCCAACTAACTTCTTACCGAGTGACTCGCTTTCTGCTAAGGGCTCGATCGCAGTCATAGTCGCGGACAGAAGAGCCAGGCCGCCATTTGTGTTGTTTATATTGCGCAGTAGTGCTGGGTAAATTCTTTTTAAATTTTTTTTCGTAAAACTTGGTTGCTTCTTATTGAGCTGAGAGTTATTCTCGGGTTTATATATCTAGATGATTGTATCTAGGACTTTGAACTTTTAATCTAGGACTTTCAGACTAACAGTCTGAATCCTGAAGGGAAGGGGGAATCCCGGATTCTCCAACAATTTGAAGACGTTGCCACTGTATTGCCGGCCAAGACGACGAATGCGGTAAATGGAACGGTCAAAACAAACTTCTCTTTGTCAGATATCTCCAAAGAATGTGGAAGATTAAGCTTTACAAATTAAGGAATTTGGTCCAGCGTTCAACGTTTTGGTCAACAAAAGCTTCGGGTGCTCGAACGATCGTAGTCAAAGCCCGACGAGCATCTTGAACACACTCGAAGCTGCACTTCAAAGGGCTAGCACTAAGCTCATCGTAGGTTATGACGTGATACGCGATCGTCGTCAAGCATTTCGTGACGAGGTCTAGAAAAAGGTTGGTTGCTGCATACCGGTAGTTTTTGATGGGGCCTAGCTGGCGAAAGAAACCCGGGATCTCGAGAGTGCGGAGCTTCTTCTATTATTGGATGTCATCACCAACGGTAATTGATATAGTAGTAACTAGTAGTAGTAGGAGGTGAGAGACTGAACCTGAGTGATTTAAATTCCATCTATCGACTGCCTCTGCGACCGGTGCAAAAGCTTTTCAATCACCTTCTCCACCAGCTTGCCTATATTATGAACATTAAGTCCCTTCCTGAACTTGATATTGTCCCAAAGGACATCTTTCCGCTTCCTATCTTGTAGACAATATTGGTCGCTATTCACAAAATAAAGATAGACGTGTCCACCAGGATCACCTGAAGACGGCGAACGGCTTGAATTCTTCAAAGTCCCAACCCAACATCGCTCGTTCTTCAGCTGCAGTCGACGCCCGCGCTGTGTGTCTGCCCCGTGCTCTAAGCGAGTAGGTGGTGCCTCTATCACAAAAACTACTACTTGCGTCCGTCTTGATGGTGGGGGGAGTGTAACGTCCATCCCATAGCTTAAGAGGTGCGGTACTAGATACCATTAGTGATGCTGAAACAGGAGTAGGCGGTGTGCCGCAGGACGTGGTATTGGTCGATGTCGACTTAGGTGTTGTGAGATCGGGCATAGAAGACTTGTGTATGGAGGCCGTGGGGCTTTGGGGGGATCCATTGATGCAGGCTTTCTATCCATACTCCATACTCCATACGGCGCCTTATGGAATATGGAATATGGAATGCAACCCATATGGAACTTAATCCATACATATGGAAACTAAGAAATGACGTCATTTACATTATCAACTAAACCGAATCTGGGTTGGAGCTCTGCCAGCCAGCCGAATCATCTAACCCCTCTACGTTGTTGTCCTCAATACCTTCCGCTTCAAGTAAATCTACCGGGTAACCTTGTGTTATCCCGCTTTTGATCCAACTCTTCATGCATTCGCCTCTTTCAATTGTACGACTACCCAATTGGCACCGGTCCCATGAAATTGTGCGTCTCGCCCCGGAGAAGACGCGCTCCGGCTCGGCAGACATGGCTGGTATCGAGAGGATATCAACAGCCATTCGAGAGAGACGAGGGTATGTCTGTTGTTGTTCTTCTCTGAGCCACCAAGAAAGTGGAGAGCAGTCAATGATAATGGGCGGTTGCGTCGTGAAAGCATCGTACTCGTCCAGCTCACTCATAGATGGGCTAACAACGTCAAGCTCCCGAGCGAGTAGGTCATACTCATCAAGGCGCCGTATTTCGTCTCTCAGCTGTGGTGTCGTGGTGGGGAGCGGGAGCTCGTGGTAGTAGTCTTTCCAATGCTTTCGCACGCCGTCGAGAACTGGTTTATGCCAGGACTTTGGCCAGTTCTTCTTTATATGGGCTACACGTCGTGACGGATGAAGTATTATTGCCGCACCATACGCAGGGCTCTCATCTGTAAGCTGATAATACTTATCGAATACAGCCCAAGAAGCTGCAACGCAGCTCCGTAGTGTGGCGTTGCCAGAGTGTTTCTGGAATGCTTG